CTCACTTTTTAATGAATTTTATACATTTCTCCTGCTGCATCATTAATATAAATTGAAGAAAGCCACATAAATTTTGCTTGATGAAGGTGAATGCCACGAACTCACGTGATATGATTTTTCTACTGCTCTCCTCGCTATGATTCGTCCACCAATCAGCTTGAGTTTTGAGGAAAAGAAAAATAAGAGGATGTGGAAGTCAACATTTGTCTCCTCGTACTGCTTTGCAATACATAGATTGATCTGTCACTTAAACCTACGAACAAAGATCGATAGATAGGGTGTTCGCAAATAAGGTGTAGGCACACCTTAATTATCGATTCTTTACCATAGCTTTAAATGGAGATATATCGATAATCGATCATTCACGCTTCGTCATGGCAGACGTAAGAGACTTAAACGCACGGATAGAAAGGTATCCTTATGTTAACAGGTACTTCTTAGGAGCAGAAAATGTTCTCCAAAGACCACTACTCAAGTGAGAAAATTTGATTACTTTCTTAAATCATTGGAATTTTAATCGCACCACTTTAAAATTAACGTAGCCTTGATTTTTGTTCATTTTGACAAGTTTCTACGGCTTTCTTGCTGTATGCGCTTCAGCAAATAAAAAATAAAACCAAGAGCAGCCGTTATTGTGGTTAGTTACTGACATGAAAAAAAGTGTAAAAAAAGATAAGTGTTTGAACGATACTGCTGGATTATCCTTCATAAATTAAGCCGTTTTGACATTAAAAACTATGCGCTAGCAAAGCATGTAAATATATCCAGATCACACTTAGACGTAAAAAAATTAATCTTCTGCACCAACTAAAACTCTACTAAGGTAAAAGGTAAGCGAGAAATTGTGAAAAGTAGAGAACACTCAATCTAATGAATCATGACTTTTATTCATTAGTTATTTTACTATAAATTATGAAAATTCAGTAACATCCAAGTTATCTTTGGTAGTGACGTAAATTATGAAAAACCTCATTAATCTCTAAAGACTCACAAGATAATTTTCTTTGTCTAGTGTACATGTTTACATTAACTGTATATGATCTTTGACCCTTTTGCTACATTTTTTAATTATTTACTTACAAACGAAGAAACAAATTATTTACATATTGAAGAAAGAAAATAAAAATAAAGTTATAACAAATCTGTTAATACTTCCAGCCACAATCTTTGCACAAATTCTGATCAAATCTATGAAATGCATTTTGCTTGCTTTTATTTTGATTTTTTACATTTTATTGAAAAATTTTATCTTCTCAAAAGGTATAACCGCGTTACAACGCAAATTTCTGATCAAATACTTGGCAAAGAATTTTACTATATTCCGATTACTCTTAAAATAAATGATCTCAAATGTTCTCCGAATGAATCGCCAGAAAATGTAAATCTGCAGAATGTTTTTAAATTTCATTTCAAAATCGAAAGAATTAAATAAAATTGCCACAAAAAAGAAACTATGATAGTAAATCAATCACAGCACATACATCAGATATAAAAAAAAAAAAAAAAAAAAAAAAAAAAAAAAAAAACGAAATAAATATTTTCTCTTTTTTTCTGTAGTACTTTTTCATTCAGTTTGTGATCGATTTGCTGGAGAGTTGCATAAGAAGGCAGGCAAGCATATGCTTTACGTCTTTACGTGTTTAAAAAAACTTTCAAAGATGCTAACACAGTAAAATTACAATTTACTGAAGTGCTTTTAAAAATTTAAAACTTGACTGATGGTGTGCAGTTATGAGCCGAAAATTATAAATCATTTTTCCTAATGATAAGCAACAAGAAATGAATATCAACTGTAAAACTAGAAAAACGGGTACATCGAATGGCAACACTGCAAACTTTCTCTTAAATCTTACTTAATGTACGAGTTCAAGGCAATTTTAATTCTTGAAAATTTGCTAGATTTCTTTAAAAATATAAGTTTCTAAAAATTCTCTCTAATAGTTTCAATCCAAAAACTAACTCGTTGTTTGAAAAAAAAAGAATGAATTTAGACAAAATTGTACTAAAAAAGGCGAGGCATCGCGCAAGATGAACGTGCACTTCTAGTTTTACGATTGATACAGTAAAAAAAACTGTATATTGAGAAATAGTACCAATTAAAAAAGATAGGGATAATTTGAGAGCATTATAGAATAACTAAAAATTAAAAAAAAAAAAATAAAAAAAAAGTCAGATAATGTGCGCCCCGTTTCGTACTGAATTGAAAGTCTCATTGTAAATAGACATCGTTGAACACGTTTATCGATGAAAAATTGGATGGCTATAGACATATTTCCTCTCAATATCCAAGAATCTATTTTAATGTTGAGCGTAAGACATGAGTTTGCGGGGAAAACAAAGAATTGAAAGTAATGTAATAATGTGTGAGATAACCGTAAGATACAACATTCATAAAAAAAATTTGGGAATTTTAAAGTACAGTTAACATATGTGTAAAGAAGTGAAATTCTTAGAAAAATTAGAAATTTAAAATATTTTAATTGCAAAAAACCATGGTTGAAAAATGAATAAAAGACAATAGATAGGGGGCGAGGGGTAATAAATCAAGTTTGAAATAATGTATTTCCGTCGTCACACATAGAATAGATTGAAAAAAAAAAAACAGCTAGGTCGGTAAAATGTGACAACTTCTAAACATAAGGTGTCTTAGCAAAGAAACAAAGGCGCATGAAGAAAAAAACTGGAAGAATAGGGTATGTCTATCGACGACACGAACTTTCCTAAAAAGGAACAAGGTGTTCGTGAAAGAAAACATCATCTTAACTCTTTCATGAAATTATCTTGATCAAAATACTAATCTAAAACATATTTAGTGCACGATATTTGTGTTGAGAGGGTCCTAATAGTAGCAAAAAATTACAATATATGTACAAATATAAATCAAATATCACATGAATTCAATTAATTGAGCCTGGCCTACTTCGGATTTTTGGGAATATCTCATTCCAAATATGCATAAATTAAAAAAAAAGTTCACAACAAAAATGTTGTTTTGGTTAACCATCTAAGTTTCAGTATCAATCAAATTTCTTCAAATGTAATAATTTTTTCAAGAGTAGACGTTGAACAGGACATCAACCGAGCAAAGTCTTTTCTACGTCTATAAATATGGTTTAATTTTTTTCAACGTGTTGTGATAATTCCAAGCGAATTCCCTTTTTTGCAAAAATATGAAACTAAAGACAAGTTTCGGTTTTTCGTCCAGCTTTCGGTCCAGAGACTTCATAATTTGGACAGCATTTTGCAAATTGGCGCTATAAATTCCGGTTCATCTGAAAAAAAACTCATGTGTATAGAGAAACTAATGGCACATACGTTGTTTTTAAACTGGGCCGGAATTTATAGTTCCTAATTGCAAAATGAAGTCCATTTAAGCCTTGTAGACATTTATGAGACATTGTAATTCATTCTTTGCCAACCACTGTGGTTGATTTACAATTCCATTCTGACTTTCGAGATAGGAAGTTAACTCGTTAAAGGTAATTACATAAAAATGTTGGTTGAAAACACTGGGTGTATGAATATAGTTGAAGATGATCAAATATAATTTGAGCGCTGGATGGAAGTTTAAAAAAAAATCGGCAAAAAAATGAGCATGATAAAATACAATTTAGCGGCAAATAAGTACTAATTAGTGAATAAACAATTTTCATTCATAATAATTTCGCGGAGAGATTTTTTTTTTTTAAAAAAAAATGAAATAAAAAATAAAAATAATTTCTGTAACCATTATTGCTTCACCTTGCATTTAGGTAGAAGCTTATTTTTATCCTCGGTGATCGCTAAAGAAACTTAAAATAAATAGCGTAGTAAAAAGTACGTTGAATTGCCGATCTGTGGATTTTCAGCACCAACGCAACGCCTTGATCATTATCTACTCATTAAGCTTTTATATAACACCTATTACCTTTAAAAATGCAGCAAGAAAATGCAATTATGGATCATGAAGTGTGGAGTCAATTACGAATAAAGAAAATTCCCACATTTCTAGTGTGACTTAAATGTAGCTGAAAAAAAAAAACTAGAAAGTTCATGCAGCAACATTGCTTTGGTACCAACAAAATGTGAGTAGTTTCCGACATAGAAATGAAAACGAGCGTCTATATAGCCTCATTTATACCTATTTAAACAAATTACAATGGAAATAGGTACGGAGTAATTGGTTAATGCCTTTGAGATTCGATTAATCAGCTATTTGAATTTATTTTTGCGAACATTGTTGCAAACAACACTTACATTTATGAGCGTTTTGCAAGAAAGTGCTTGTCCTGAAAAATTCGAAATGTTCCGAAATATTGGCAATATTTGATACAAAATACAGTGTGGAAAACATTGCAGAAATGTTTTAAGGAGATTATCTTTATCAAAAGTTTCAATATTAAAGGAAGGGATATTTTCAAAAAAATATTTTAATTAAAATATTCCGAGTGAAATATTTTCAAAATATTTAGAAACTAACTAAAATAAATTCAANGGGGGGGGGGGGGTATGTAGGATTGAAACAATGAAAAAAAGCCTCCGGCAGTGGATACCTTACTTACGGGCTGTACACATAGACATAACATCCGCGTTCTGGGCATAGAGTTCCGGAAGTAGCACCCGGCGCAGTTTAAGCCACACGGCTCCAACACCCGAAACTTTCGGCCTCTGAGCTCGGAACGGACGCTATATATCTGCACATCCTGTAATTTTTTTTTTTCCGAGGAATAAATCGTATTGAGGAAACATACAAAATGAAATGCGTACTATTTTTTCAAAATAATATTTTAAGTTATTCAGTTCTCGATGGGTGCAATAGATCAAAAGCAAAAAATGGGTAAACAGGGCCTTAAACATGAAAACACTAAAAAAGCATTTGCTGGCTAACGTTCAGCACAAAAGCTAATAAAATAGATACAATGTTGACTCAACATTTCATTTTATTTATTTCACTTTTAAAGTTTTTGCTGGTGAAAATGAGACTGTACAGCTCGAATCGTTCTGATTCGTGTTTTCATATGTATAGCCTTGTCCGCACACTTTTGTTTTTTGTTTTTTTTTTTAATCTATTGAATTCGTATTTCATGCTTTGTTTTCTTGTGCTTTATTTTTCTCTATGGGCAAGGTACATGAAGTGTAAGTTTGAAAAATAGAGTTAGAAAGAAAGGACCATGAATGACAAACAAACGAAGTAAACGTCCCCAACGCATCGTCCCGTTGCGTCCGGAAAAGTTCCGGGATACATCGGAAATTTCAAAAATTCCAGAAAAAGTGCCGGAAAATTTAAAAAATGTCGGGAAAAGTTTTGGAACTTTTAAAACACTCCGCGAATAGTTCCGGACTTCTTAAAAAAATTGAAAGTTCTAAAATTCGGGCGAAGTTCCGGAAAATGGGAGGAGTGTTTGAATGAAGAGAAGCTGAACGAGGACTCGGAATAGAACCAGAAAAGGAAAAGGATTAACAACTACTTCATCGGACGGTTTATCACACGGGGCTATCACTGGCTATGCGCATAGCCAGTGGCCCATTGTCACAAGGAGTGATAATCCTGGAGCATCGCAGTGTCGGATTGCATGTAGGCGGAGGTCGGGCCGGTGCCGCGGGAGAGCTCGGCGCCGATGGGACGAGCATTGACTAAATTGATTTGAGATTGATACGCTGCGGCTACCGCTGCGTTGGACATGACGGTCGCCGAGAGACTAGCAGGACTCGGCTTCAACTCGCTCACGCTCGAGAACAGATCGTGGTGCGATAAAGCATCCTGAAACATTACAAATCATCCCGTTAAACATGGAGTACCCTCATGGGCGGAGTATGATCACCGGGTCTCGTGGAGACATGAAGGATCCAAAATGGACCACTAGACAAGGTACGAATTTCAGCATTGTGATACATGTTTTGTAACTAAAATTTCACGTAGAACACAATGCGCACATAGAAAATTACCGAAATTAACTCCTTACGAAGATATTTGATGATTCTTGATGCGTGAATTCAAACCACCCGCTCATTAAAACTCAATGCTCCACGTGATTCACATCGCGCGCTAAACGTTATCACGACAGTCTCTGCGATGTAAAAATCTGGCAACCTCAGTCTTGATGCTTTGGCCCAGCTATAGCAAATTGCTTATAGTTTGAACAACACATGGTGGAAAATGAACATTGCTCGATTGAGAGGCTTGCAGAAACCATTGTAGTGCGCGATTTGACTCGCGTAGAGCTTTGAGTTTCTTGTGAGCGGGCAGTTCAAATTCTCAATGTGAAATAAAAACGTTAATATCTTCGTTAGGAGTTGGTTTCAGTAATTTCCGTCGTGTGAATCGTTTTCCACGTGAAATTCTGGTTAAGAAACATGTATCAGATTGCTTAAATTCGTACCTTGTCTAGTGGTCCATAATGGTAGTGGCCAAAAACAAGAGACTCTCCACTCGTATATGGTCAGAGACAAGAGACCCTCCACTGGTATCTTGGCCATGGTGGAATCTTTTACTTTCGGGACTTCAGCATTCTACTGTTGACTTACTCATATGATTGATATTCAACAACGTGTTGGCAGTTTCGTTTCGCAAACTAGCCAAAAATAGCCGAAGTTCGGGAAACTCGTTTGGCTCAAGACTTCACCCGAAGCTCATCATCCACCATGTAGGTAGGTCAACAGCCGAAATTAGGGTGATGACTGTTGCTCCCTAATAATAATTGCCCATAAAGAACTGTTGAATCCCCGAGAGGAAAAGCTTCCACCTGTCGCCAAGAGGCCAGTGGAGGGTCTCTTGTCTCTGGTGGTGGCTCTGAAATGGAGGAGATGGGAGCGGGTGAAAAGGGGTCACTCCCAACGAGAGTACCCATAGACAGAGATGGAAAGTGGAATTTCACAAAAATTGAAATTTATTAATTTTTTTCGGAATTATAATTTGAACCTTCAAAGATCCGAAAGCGTTTCAAATAGTATTCCTGTTGAAGGGGAGTTTGGAGAGAAAAGCCCCAACATAGCCTCTGAACCAAACGAAGACAAAGGCTTGGGGTGAAAAATGTCAAAATCTAGAATTACTATTTCTATTCCTTTCTTAGCCTTCTGAATGCATCCCTAAAAGTTTAAACAAATTTCGTGAAGTTTCATGAGAATGAAATTGAATCAGTGAGTTCGAAAACACACCAACTCGGAAAAAACATTGTTCAAGAAACACCTAAAACTGCACAGCGGGCGAAGAAGTTAGTTCAAGAAATACCTTTTTGGTACAAGTACTTAGAGACTTTGTAAAGCACCAAGTTTAAATCGATACACCATGTTTGATGACAGCGAATTAAGCGTTTAAAAATTTCCGAGTTGGTGTGTTTTCGTTCTCACCGACTTTCAGATACTGATTTTTCATAGTCTGCCCTGAAAAATGTATATTTTTCGACCGGAATAACGCTTGAATATTTATATAACTTGTTGGTACAAGGTATACTGAACCGAAAAAAGAAAACCGCAAGATCAGATGGTCGGCCCGTTACCCTTGAAATGGCCAAAAATTGGTATTTCCAATGAAATACTTCGATTTTTCCCGTCGCTGTTTCGAGTACTTCCGATTGCAATTTCGAAATTTCCTTTTGCGTGCAGATGCTTCTATCCATAAGTGTTACTGAACCGTAAAAAAGTGAAAATCGAAAAAAACCCAAGTTGATTTGTCTTCGAACTCACTGATTCAATTGTGAGTGTGTAGAAAACAGTGAAGCGCGCAAGTCGTATGTGGATAGTAATGATTTTGAAACACCACAACCGAGATACGCATTTTTGCAATTTCACCGTCAATTTCTTGTGTATTTTTACCAGGTGTCCGACTGTCCGGTCATCTTTGCCGTGTCAAATGCCAAAAAACCTTATGATGGAATGCACCACAATTAATTCTGATAAAATTTTCTATAATTTCTATTTATTGTGTGATAAGCACAACTGACCCATTCTCTTGTGCTAAGGAATAACGCCGTAAGAACATTCAAGAGTTGCCAAATTTCCCTCGATAAAATGCTTATTTTCGAGGAAAGTTACGAATATTTCCTTTACATTTTCAGAATCTTTAGGTGAAATTGCGAACAAAAGTATCTGAAAAATTGGGAGGAAAATATTCATAAGTTTACTAGGAATTTCGAGTTTTATCAAAGGATATTTGGCAACGCCTACGGGGTTTTTCCTTAGCGCAGCAGCGTTGATGCGAGAAATGGTTAAGTTTTCACGATTTCTGGAGATCCAAAGCCTGCAATGAAATCTACTTAACAACGTTGTTTGAGTAAATTTACCTGAGATGAGACCATATTGTGATTTGGAGGGATTGAAGTTTTCATGTGATGGTGAAGATCGCCGTCGATGGACTCCGAGGACTCATTGGAGTCGAGCGTTGAGTTGGGACCACCTAAACAGCCCATCTTATCACTACCATCGCCCACTCCAGACGGGCTCCTCACGGATGACCTGAAACAATAACAAGCAACACAATTTTAATTAATGCATCTTTTCCCATTTATTCATCTTATTTGTCCTCCACTACACCGCCGCGCCGCGTCGCACAGTGGAGCGGACCTTTTAGAAAGGTCGCACATGACATTTTTGACTAAAATTGCAAATTTTCATGCTAATGTCGTCACATTTTAAATTGCACAGGGGTCAACTTGAAGGAAAGGAGGAGTATTGATGAGAATCGTTTTTTGGGCCAACCCATGCATTTCTTCAACCCCATATTTTTTACTCATTAAGGGTCTATCGTGCATGGGATGCATCATCAGTAGCATGGCTTGCTTTGCGATACATCGATTGATCTGCCATTTGGACTGCATTTTGCAATTTGGAACTATAAATTCTGGGTCTTCTGGAAAAACACTTATGTGCATAGGGAAACTAATGGCACATACGTTGTTTTCAAACCAAACTAGAATTTATAGTTCCAAATTGCAAAATATAGTACATTTAAAACCTCTGAAGAAGGATCGATAAAAAGGGTGTTCGCAACGAGCACTTAAATAATCAATTGTTTACTATGGTTTCAAATAGGGAAATATCGATAATCGGTCATTTACACCTCGCCACTAAACACATCATGGTCATTGCTGGTCTCTTCTCAGGCATAATACTGACCTAAACATACGTCTGAGGACCGAATTTGGCGAAAAAATGCGGAATTTGCAGGTTTGCGGTCGAATGCCAACAAATCCGCATTTATAGCCGAAATACACCTTCAACCCCAGGTTAGTATTACGCCTAAAATGACCATGTCATGATGCATTCCGTAAAATATAGACCTTTAATAAGCAAAATAATTTCAGAGTTGTGGAAATTCAGTTAGGATGAGCCCAAAAAAAGCCCCTATCGATACCCTGCCTTTTGATGCTGATATCGTCACATTTTAAATTGTACGGGATGCTTATAGAAGAAAATTTTACGTAAAAACCAATGAAGCCACATTATTGAGACTGCTATGTTTCGAAATAACGTTATTATGAGCTTTTAAGGTTTCCAAATTGTATCCGACTTGTTCCATTGTGCGCCGTGTCAGAGACGGAGAGCAAACAGGCCGCGACAACCAGCCACCAGAATCGGCATCACTACTTGGTGACGACAATTTGTCCATCAAAAGTGATTTCAAATCAAATTAATTCGATGTCGATATGAGATAGCGACGCTTCGTACAAAAATTCCCGACAAGGGTCCTCCGTGTCGAAACGAAAAATCTCAGTCTCCGTACCAAGTTGCCGCACAGTGGATCGAGTCAATGAGAGAGGTCGGGCATAAATTTGTTTCCCTTGAGTGCAGGTTTTTATGTTTAATTCGTCAAATTTTGAATTTTAAGGGGTCTTCAGGAGGAACATTTCACAAGGAAACCAATGGAACCACTTTTAAAACCTGAAAGTTTTGTATAAACGGAGTTAGAAGCGTTTAAAGTTTCCAAATTTTGCCCGATCTCTCCTACTGACTCGTGATCCACTGTGTCGTGAAAAAAATTAACGGACCTCCATTCTGACCGGTTTTTTTCATCGGTGTTACCCTTTCTGGACCCCCCCCCCCCCTAAATATACCTGATGATCACCATTTGAAGCAGTTTTTTCATTATGGTTTTTAATAAGAAAACGATATCGTCGCCTCCCTAACATTAGAGCGTAACTACAGTCTGAAATGAACCCTGTCCGCCACACACTTTTCTGGACAAATCTCAGTGTGTAGTTCAGTAGCGAGTCATGAGTGATGTATTATCGATATTTCCCCGTTTGAAACTATGATACCCCTGTTTATCGATCCTTTTCCATAGGTTTAAATGGCAGATAAATCGATTTATCGCAAGACACGCCACGCCCCGGGCTACTCTCTCAAGTATCCTCCAATGCCTTGGAGACTTAAACGCTGATGGAGAAAAAACAACAAATATAACAAACTGAAAAAACATCACATATGCAAGGAAACGAGCAACGTCTTGTTCTGTGTGCTGGTGTGCAATACTGCCGGGATGAGGGAAAACACCATACGAGCGTTTAGACGTTGCCTGTTTCCTCCGATAAAACCGAAGTAAAAACCGAATTTATGAGGAAAGATTAAACATTTTTCTTCAAGCTTTCCATACGATTTTGTTCGCAATTCAATCTGAAAAATCTAAAAATTTCAAGGAAATATACATGACTTCCCTAAAAAATAAATATTGTATAAGAGGAGTTTTGGCGACGTCTGAAGGCTCATACTGTGTTTTTATACAGCACGCCAGAATGGATCAATTATTGAAACGCTCATTGAAAATAAAAAATTGCTGTAACAGGCCCTGTTTCACTTATGTTAAACAGCAATTTCAAGTCTCGGAGAATTATTTCTGTGCGATTCAAAATCGTAATTAAAGGTATAAAAAATGCGCTTCCTACACTGCCGTGTTACGGAAGAACGCCGAAGATCATTCAGTAGTTGACAAGTTTCCTTCGATAAAATGTTTATTTTTAAGGACGTTATGAATACTTTCCATGACATTTTTAGAAACTTCATGCAGGCGGTATTGCGAAAAAAAAACATCTGAAAAATCAGAAGGAAACTACTCATAAGGTTACCAGGAAATTCGTCTTTTTTAAAAGGAAATTTGGCAAAAGCTAAAAATTCTTACGACGTTTTTCCTTAGCGCGGCAGTGTGGTGCTTGGCAATTCTTGCAAGTTGTAACAGTGTTGCAACTCCATTTAAACCCATTAAATATATCGATTCTATAGATGAGGCAGGCTGCCTCATCTAGAATCGATTGTTTAACATTGATTTAAATGGAAGAAAAACAGTGTTGCCAACACTGAAAAAAATTCTTGAAATGGTAATTTTACCAAGAAAAAACTGGGATCAAATAGAACCCTGAATTCTTGGTAATTTTACCCTGTTCTTAGTAAATACACCGAGATTTTTTTTTCAGTGAACTTCCAAAAAATCGCACCTGCGGCCCGATTATTGAAATTGATATAGACAAAGCTGTGGACAAAGAAGACAAAAAGGGAATGGAGAGATCGTATTGGTGGAAGCGGGTGGTTGCAATGGACAAAGGAGGTGGGTAATAGACTATAGCTAATGGCAACCCACGAGAGATCCGACAGTTAGTCCATCATTTTCTCCCTTAGTCTATAAGAGCCACCCGTTTCAACCAATAGGAACGCTCCTTACTCTCTATGACTTCTTTGTCTATCGCTTTTCTTATCAATTTGTATAATCAGCCTGCAGGGTAGAATACATGTCTGTGCCAAGGGATAAAATACCCATAAGAAGTAACTATTCTCTAAGAAGCAGCTTTTCTAAAAGTATATGATTTGTCTCCATAAGTTACCAATAGGAACGCTCCTTACTCTCTATGTCTTCTTTGTCTGTCGCTTTGTCTATCGATTCCAATAATCAGCCCGCTGGGCAGACGATGGCGGCTAATCGAGGTTAGACACGGTCGGCACGGCGTGAAATAGCGTGGCTCCTCTAGCGTAAAGGCGAATCTGAATTTCCTCATGAGCCGCGGAAAGCATGGATTTATATATGTAAAGCAAGTCTCACGCGGAAACTGCGATACGCCCTTCCGTCAGAGGGGCAAGGATACAGCGTTAAAAAGGGGCCGGAGGAAGAGCAGGCATAAATGATAGGGAGATAAAAGATGGGCGGAGTATCCTCAGCGAGCGGCGAGGAACTGAATTGGGGTGGTAAAAACTCCCATTTATCTTCAGTAAAAGCCCCTATTTGACAAACGATTATCTCATGATTGCGCCTTTTAATCTCTTTTTAATCCACCCTTTTACTCACCGTATGATGAGCCATGTTTGAGCTCCCTTCAGGGTGGATCCTCAACTTTGGCAGAAAGCATTCTGGGCACGATCGATATGTTTCAAAATACTGGGGGCTGTACCCCCTGGCCGCTAAAGGGCAACAGCTCAGACCTTTCGGGGTTCATGCAGCCACATCAAAATAAAATTAAAAGGCTTTCCGCGAGTTTTTCAAGGACTGTCGACTGAAAATTCAAGAACTTTGTCGTCGTTTTAAGAAAATGTTTCATGGATATTCAAGGACGTTTATCACAAAAAATAAAGAAGCTTCTTCCCTCCATATTTTCACTCCACCGAACCGCATTATAGCAAAGTTGGAGCTTTCATAATAAGGAGCTCAAACAAGTTAAAGTTATAGCGAATGAAAGTCGAAATTGCTTCTTCGTTTCACACATATTATTCACTAAAATCCAAGCCTAAATTGCATAATTCAAGGACTGGCAAGTACTTTCACGTATTTCCTAAAAACTGAAGTATTTTCAGGTAAACACGAAATTGAGGGGAAAAAATCAAGGATATTCAAGGACTTCTCAAGGCTGCACAAACCCTGTCCTTATACCGTAACGTCTCCACAGCTGAATCGATTACACGATGTCCACTCCCTTTGAATTAGAAGAAATTTTTTAACTCCCCTGAGATAAAATTGCATACGCAACGAAATAAAGGATCTTAGAGAGTCTCCGTTGATTCGCGGAAAGCATTTCAATCGAGAGCGCTGCCTATTAATGCAGACGTTTTCTTTACTCTACAGTTACTATTTTAAATTCCCAGTCATCAAAATGATAACTATCCGATTAAGAAAAAACTCTAGAAATATTGCTGGAATATAGTGAAGAAACATGATGTTAGGATAGTGCTCGAGCACTGATGTGCTGGGTCCATTAATACCATTGCTCATTCACTGAAAAAATAGTGAAGTTGATTTAACATTCTGGATGTCAAAAAAAGTGTGCGAGAACTTACAAAATGTTGAATTAACTCTTACAGCAGTAATTTTAGAATTGTCAAGATGTTTTAACTGCAGTAACGGGTAATTTAGCACTTCGTGAGTTCTCGCACACTTTTTTTACATCCAGAATGTTAAACCAACTTCACTTTTTTTTTGGTGTTGAAGACATTGAACGAAGCGAAAATTAAGAGGAGCAAAACCGACAGAAATAAATAAT